TATCTTGAACTCTGTCACGGAAATTATGTATAAACCCTAATCAAACAATTTAATAATCAATTTACAATGAATTTATACCCGTGTTGTACATTATGCTGCATGTACGCCATGGATGAGCGCTTTGTAAAAATTAACGGATTGATTATTCAGCTGCGGGTGCCATCTTCTGGCGAGATGTGGGGATTCATTCGGCACGTGACTCTCACGGTGCATTATGGGCATTCTCTAGCCGTTGAGCGTGCACCAGTTCTACACTCGTTTTTGCAGTGCTTTGTGGCTTTGTGGGATTGAATGAGTGCACTCGAGAACGTCCACTATGGTTTCGGACACCACTAAAAATGGCTGTTCCCTCAAATAGTGCCCTATTTAAGTGTATAGGGGGCGATTTCGGACACAGCCTCAGTCTTCCGAGATGAGGTAAGCAGTTTGTGGTATTTCACATATTTACACAAGCATCAAACACATTTTACACAGTTTGTTTAGGCAGCATTTTACAGACTCATTTCTGTACTCTGTTTTCATCGGGTTCAGTCCTACTGAAATAAACACAGATTTCTGAGTTTGTCTGTTTCCACTAGATAGCGTTTGTGTACTTAGACACGCTTATTTCGGTATAACTTTTGATTGGTTTAATTTGTATAGCTTTATATTCTGGTTATTTTATCATGTTTATTGTGATTTCTAAACTGAGTTATTGTTTACGTGAGCAAGATTGATTCTTTCTAAGAGTTTTTGGTTGTTTTATTTTATTCCCTTCTTGCCTTTTGTATATCACTTCCTGTTTGGTCATCTGCATGAAGAGATGGAACGATATTTTAGTTGAAAGTTTTAAGGTGTTTCTCTGTAAGATTACAAGTCATCCGTCCAAGAAACTTCAAAATATAACCCCTCTCTTAGCTTACTAGTAGGCAAAAGTTTTTCACACAATTGTGTAATTCAAACACTTTCAAAACAACATCAGAGATCATAAGTTAAAATGTATACAGGTAAATTGAGTGCTCTCAGTAATGGATAACAGCTCAGAACTACACGGGAGGATCTTGTCAATGATCTCAAGGCAGCTGGGACCATAGTCACCAAGAAAACAATTGGTAACCCACTACGCCGTGAAGGACTAAAATCCTGCAGCGCCCGCAAGGTCCCCCTGCTCAAGAAAGCACATGTGCAGGCCCGTCTGAAGTTTGCCAATGATTCAGAGGAGAACTGGGTGAAAGTGTTGTGGTCAGATGAGATCAAAATCAAGCTCTTTGGCATCAACTGAACTCGCCGTGTTTGGAGAAGGAGGAATGCATATGACCCCAAGAACACCACCCCACCGTCAAACATGGAGGTGGAAACATTATGCGTTGGGGGTATTTTTTATTGCTAAGGGGACAGGACAACTGCACCACATCAAAGGGATGATAGACGGGGCTATGTACCCTCAGGGCCAGGGCATTGCAAATGGGTCGTGGATGGGTATTCCAGCATGACAATGACCCAAAACACACGGCCAAGGCAACAAAGGAGTGGCTCAAGAAGAAGCACATTAAGGGCATGGAGTGCCTAGCCAGTCTCTAGACCTTAATCCCATAGAAAATCTGTGGAGGGAGCTGAAGGTTCGAGTTGCCAAACATCAGCCTCGAAAACTTAATGACTTGGAGAGGATTTGTAAAGAGGAGTGGGACAAAAAAACCTACCATTAAACCTACCAATGAACGTGATTAATGTGACCATTTTAAAGAAAAAAAAAGTATGTTTTGTTATAGCTTTCGGAGCAAGGGCGCCACTATCCTGCGATACCATAGTGTGTGACGTCATGGGGTTGGTTCGCTCCGAGGGCCAGTGAAATAATATTTAAAGGGGTCCTATTATGCTTTTTCACTTTTTACATTTTAGTCAGTGTGTATGTTTGGGCATAAAAAAGATCTAGAAAGTTACAAATCTCAAAGTCCACTCCAAAGGGAGATATTTCCCTTTTCAAGAACTACAACGAACGGCTCGTTTGGACTACAGCGTTTGTTTTCCGGGCTTTGTGATATCACAAAGCGGCCCATTAGAAGATCATTAAAAATAATTCCCACCTACAGAAATTCGAATAGTTGGGGAGTGGGGAGGCGCGAGGTTGTGGTTAGAACGCTTGGTTGAGTGAGTGCATCAGACGAGACGACGAAGAAGAAGAGCTGCTGCAGAGTTAGTGCATCAGAGAAAACCAAGAAGAATAGCTGCTGTGCTGTAGCGTAAAATTTTCGACATGTCTAGAACAATTCTTACAAGTACAAAATGACGTAGCTGGGCGCCGCAGACAGACGCCGAACGGCGCCGCCGGTGTGCCTACACTCATAGAAAATAATGTATTTGAGGTTTAAAGATGTGGTGCGACGATGTGCTTCCCATTTGGTGCGCGACCGCCTGAAACGCTGTTTTTTCACCTCCGTGCTCAAAGGTCTTTGTTTTGGCTTCCGAAAGCGGATGATTCACATTTTGTTTTACGGAAGGCGG